TCACCAGGGCTCTGAGTTGGTGCTGGCCGCCGCTCTGGGCGTGCTCGCCTATTATGTGCCGCTGTGCATCGTAAGAAGGCAGCGCAGCGCCAGAGGAATGATGCTGCTCGGACCCACTGCCCAGGCTGTTGCTGCCGGTTTGATACTGTTCTCGTGTTTCGGGATGGTGGAGCCGCACTTTTCAAGCATGGCTCGCATTGGGGTGCCGTCGCCCAATGTGTTGTACTTCCTTGGCGGCGCTGCCGCCGGTGGCGGGCTTTTTGTTCAGGTGCATCATTTTTTCGGCGACACCCACGCGAATGCCGCAACCACCGCCATGCTCGCACACGGCGTGGCTGAGGGGGCTGCGTTGGGACTGCTCTCGAGTAGCCCGGACTTTTATGCCATCTTTCGTTCCCAGGTGTTTCACGGAGTGCCGGACGGGATGCTCTTGGCGATGGTTTCCGTGGAGCGCTCGGGTCTGGCGCGGGCGTTGCTCTCCGCGGTTTTGGCGCGTTCTGGGCAGGCGGTCGCGTTCTACGCCACAGCTGTTTACGCGCCACCCGTCTCGAAGGAGGTGCTGTGGGCCGGCGAGGGCGTGGCGCTTGGATCGCTGGTGGCTATGGCGTGGGAGGAGTTGGTTGTGCCAGCTGTCGGTGGTCTTGGAAGGAAAAAGGCGGCTGCCCTCATATCGGTGACTGCCTCGGCGTGCTTCTTTTTATTCAAGTAGACGCGGGCGCCTTTTTAACGAGGGCACCTAGATACCGGAGGCGAGAAGTAAAAGACATGGTGGCAAAAATGTTAAAATGAAACGAGAAAAAAAAATTCCGTCGTTCCAGCATCGCCGCCCCCCATGCGGGAAAAGGGGAACGCCAACAGACCGGTTTCTTGATTTTTTTTGCCCTTTACTTTTATAACCCTCAAGCCGCCCATCCTTTTTTCCCCTGCAGAGGTGGGGGGCCGGGGGCGAGAAAGCAGGAAAAGCACGATGACCGGCCGCGCCCCCCCATTCAGGAGCCAGCGTTTGCTGCCGCGCGTTTGCCGGAGGCGGGGTGGGGGGCGAAGGCCGAGAGCCAGCACAGTTCGCTTCTTGTGAGGGTCCCTGCGGCGCCCGGCTTGCAGCACCGCGCGCCCCCGGGGCCAGCCGCGCT